CAAAATGAAGAACACTTTCTATGATTTTTAAGCGTAAAAGTGGTCCCTTGGCCTGTATTGTGGTTCAAGTATGCAGTTAACTAAAAAATCGAATAATTTTGTATGATCCTTCAAACATCATCAATCTTCTGTTATCACTTGATAACGTGTTGGTTACGATACAACCTTACTTGCTTTTTCACCTCAACCTAAAGCCCTAGCCTTGTGGGTTTTACCTATTGTTGCTTGCGGACAACCGGTAGTTGCCCGTAGGAGGCTGAGGAGACCACCGTCCTCGAGTTTAACATTTCAAAATCGAAACGGTATGGATCCACTTTCTCGAATAGAAGTGCACTTGGAATAAACCGCGTACTCGTTGTATTCCAATACAACGTGTATGTTTTTTATTCGAATTTTAAAAAGAAAAAACTATTATGTTTGAATGAAACATTACCTTTCTTTTTTTTGGTAACTTGAATAAAGTAACAAAAAATGAGTTATAATTGCACTATGGGGAAAGATACAGTTTGCAATTGCACTTCGGGCTACCCTATGTGGCCCAAACGTTAGGTTGGGTACATTGTCGGATCTGCAACCCAAAACTGTATCTTGGTCAATAGAGGAATTATAACTCGTTTTTGTGAATTTCACGTAGTTTCCCCTTTTGGGGGGTAGCTTCAGTAGAGTGATAAAAATGATTTTTCGAGGTCAACGCCGACCTTGGTCAATAGTGAAATCATAACTCTTATGTTCTCTTTTTCACAAAACGTTTCACTTCCGCCCACAAGAGGAGGTGATATGAGCATCCCCTGTAGTGGACTCACGACAGAATACATGTTTATTAGTGGGGAGTGGTATCGGCTGGAAACATGCTCCAGCGTCCCAGGCGCATCATGAATGACGCACCAATAGGAACCCCACACACAAACACTCTTCGAGTTATTTATAGCGAACATAACAAAACATAAACACAATACGATAACTACCTTACACTTCCTCAACCACATCAACAAACAAACTACGGCCACGCAACCCACGCTCTCACTGTAAATCGATAGATTTAGAGGCTCGCCGAACAGGCTGTCGAAAACCAGGTTTTCGACAATTTTGCATCGCCACACAGACTTTCGAAGAATTGCGGCTTAAAAAACTTTCCGCAGGTGTCAGAATGTTCCTTTCGACAACTGCCCTCTAACAATCGTTTCCACAAGTTTCCAAATGACGAAAATTCGACAGTGGTCTGCCGACCTTTCAAAAATTGCGTTTGAATTTGCGTTGTCAGGGACTGCTCCGTCAACTTTAGTAAAACCCGTCCGCCTGACCATGATAAAAAACCTTGCTCCTCGACAGCCTGTGTGGCGAAAGGGGGGGGGAATTGTCGACCGCCTGACTATCGAAAAATTTTATGACACCTGACAAAAATTTTCGACATTGGACAGCCTGTATGGTGAGCCTCTTAGTGAACGATTAGGGAGGTGGAGTAGATGTTCTGCGTTTCCCCCCCCTGAGACATTTCAATGCCATTGAAATTTCTACGTCGGTGGTCGTCGGGGGGTGGATATTTTAGGTTTTGGGGTCTTGCAAGGGCCAGGACCACGTAGGACCGGTAGTTGCTCGTAGGAGGTCGAGCAGGCCGCAACCTTTTTTGAAATTGAAACGACATGGGTCCACTTTTTTCCAATAGCAGGGCACCTCGAGTAGAACACTTACACGTTGTATTCGTATACAACGCGTACCTTTCTATTCGGATTTTGAAAAGAAATAACTCTTGTATTCCAATAAAATCACTACTTCCTTATTTTGGAGGTCAGCGCCTGCCCTTGTGCTCCCTGCCACTGACATGCTGCATGCTGCAGGTCTCTCTCTCTCTCTCTCTCTCTCTCTCTCTCTCTCTCTCTCTCTCTCTCTCTCTC